CCGGCATGCAATGCACGAAAGTCACGTGGTCTGTCAATCTCTATTGTAAGCGCCATTTATAGTTACCTCATGTTTTTATCTGAGGTGATTTGTTTCATATTCAGAAATTTGATATTTGAGAATAATGTCGATCACAAACAATAGCATAATATGAAACAATAATGTTTACATATCGTCATCTGACACATATCATTATATCGAACAGCGCTACATGTGGCCAGCTGAAAGTGTTTGAAAATGTCACGAGAGTTTGAACTTTATTGTCCAGGTTTTGCAGCTTTTCCTATTTAGAAAAGTCTAAACTCATCTCCACCAAATTAATGAGGAAATATATATTTTCTTAAGAGCAAGTGAAACATGATTAATGCTAATGTTTTATTAGAGTCAGTTTTTGAGGTTTCTGAGTATAAAACGATAAAAACAAACGATAATCTTCATCATTGTCTTTCCTAATTCCAGGACACAGAACTCACATAATGAAGCTTAAGTTACAGCGCGTGTTCTCAGCTGCTGCAGAGCTAAGCCTCATCACACATAGACAGACACACACACACACACCAAAGAGCTGTTCTCCACCCTCCTCTATGAAGGACCAGGAGAGCCTCGCACACTGAAATACGAGTCATTTTGTTACTTACTGTTAATTGTGCGACAAATATAAATGACGTTTTCTTTTTTTTGTATTTTGACAAAAACATTATTGTAAATTTGGAAACTTAGTGGAAAATGTTTTTAAATTCTCAGAATTAAAAAATGATTCTTTTAAAAATGCAACAAAAAAAGAGAAATAAGTAAATGGATTTATAAAAATGAATTAGGAATACATGTTACTAATGAATAACTTTTGAAACAGAGTCTTGTAAAATAACAGCTGTCAGTTCATCCCGTGTACTAACTGCCACGTCTCAAAGACTAATCCTTTGACTTCATTTCTAGCTTAACAAACAGTGTTGGGGAGTAATGGAATACATGTACCGCCGTTACGTATTTAAAATACAAAATATGAGTAACTGTATTCCGTTACAGTTACCGTTTA